GGACATAGTTAATGTACTGAAAAATTAAGATACTATGCTCAACTCGGCTTGGTGACAAACAATCCCGTGAAGTTTCACTGAAATCCACAAACGGTTTTGACAAGTTTATTAAGCATTAAGGGGCTATAACTGTGCCAAAAAGCAGAATATAAAGATACTATGCACAACTAGTCATAGTGACGAACAGTCCTGTGAAGTTTCATTGGATACCCCACAGCGGTTTTGGAGATGAAGCGCGGATAAGATTTTCGGACGGACGGACGGACAGTGCGATTACTATATGCCGCCCTTCGGGTGCATAAACAAACAGAATCTCTAAAAAACGCCAAACACGGCATAATTGAAAATGTTGCAGGCTCGGTTTAATGGATGGTCGTGGTAAATGCAGGCTACCGTCCAATTTAAACATGTAAAGTCGCCACTAACATGTCAATGGGCAACAGAAAATGGATCACCGCAACATCCCATATAGGATTACGTAGATTTAATGTATTTCTTGCATGGCATTCGGATAAATTCTCTTTTGTTGTTGATAAATTGACAAGTATAAGTTGTTCTTATTTATGTTAATATGCATATGATAAACTTGTCTAGACAAGTAAAAGGATTTTAACAAAGTGAGATTTACTCATGTTGACATTTTTACTATCATAGTAGAGAATATAAATCAAAATGACTCCCTCCATTGTCATATTTTATCAGAACTTTTAAAAGAAGAGTGCTTATTTGAATAATGATATGACAAATGGTTTGTTTTGAAAATATTGAGTAGCATCAATAAACAATTTATACATATATACACAGAGAGGAATTTAACTAATAGTGCTAGAACCATGTTGAGAGATTATAGAAATGATATGTTTCTACATTAAAAATTTAACGTGTGGTACCATGTTTTAATGTATCAAGTATATTTCTAAGGTTGATGATTAAAAAGATATTATAGCAAACTATCCGATCATTCAAACTAAAAGTACAAAAACATATATATGATACATGGGGTGAGAATTTTTATTACGTACTCACCTTTTTGTACTTGATGCGTAAAACCAATTTGAATATATATATATAGTATTACCTACTTTTTAGCACTAAGATTTAAGATAAACAACTAAGTATTCAATTATATATCTATACAGTTGATCATTACTGTAAAAGAAACGCGGCATTTTTATTGTGACAGAAATGCGGTTGAAAAATTAAAAATGGAAAATATCATCGGGCTATTGAGTTGAGTTGTTCCGTATTTTTCTTATGGATATTTAACTGTCATATCAAATTTAAATACTTCACACTTTTTCAACTAACATCTTACACGTTGCACATGAAAATAGTAAAGTTGTCCTGTTTTATAGGTGTCGTATGTGTCAACGTTTAAAATTCTAAAATTTGAAGGCCAAAGCATTCCGGACAAGCAGTGTTCATCGGACAAGGTGCTTCCCACGGATGGACGGATAGAAGAACAGATGATTTGTAAAGCAAACAAACTCCCACTTCTTCGAAAGGATTAAGAGCAAAATTATGTTGATCTTTGAAATATTCTTTGATTATTAAGTATGAATATGCTGTAACTCCCCTTGTGGCTGAGGGGTTGCCTTAACGGTTGAGGCATCAGCATTGCACCCATCGTATAACCCTGTGTAATCGTAAAATGCCACTGAATGTGTTCGAATTATTGGAGTCTTTGTATCTGTTAGCTCAAGCAGGTGAGTTGGCTTTGATCCCTGTTGTTACTTAAAGTATGTAACAACCAAGGTTAGCCATAATCATATTTCCTGTTTTCGTGCCATATGACCTAAACTGTGTTAGTGCGCCGTTACACCAAACCAACCAAACAGACAATATATGATGTAACACAAACATGTCAGTTATTCACCTGTACTGAGTTTTATTTTTCAACTATTAATTATAATGAGAACAACATCTCAAAACCTCAGATACAACTGTTTTTCTTCTGCTACTTATACCTGAAGCAATTTATTAAATAAAGGTAAATGGCCGTAGTAAAACAATATTTTCTACTTGGGCAAGTAATTACTAATGTTCTGACAGTTCACTAAATGGTCTACAACAGTAGGGTATTTCCTCTTTTGTATACGACAACGCAAACATCAGTTATACTTAATTAGCGGACAAATTCACCACTGCTGGCTTTCAAAATATCATGTTCCCCGAAAATAGCAAAGCATGACGCGACCTTATGAAACGTGATATACATTTATCATTATCTGTCAATACTTATTTTTATAATAATAATATTTATTTCCTTTTTCCAATATTTACTACGGCTTGCATTCATTATTTAATTCATTCATATAGATCGATAGTTATATAATCATTGAATTTATGACCGATAATGACATATTCAATAACAGTATGCTGTAGTCCTGTAGTATGTCTTAAGTAGGTTGGTATCTTTAAAAAGATGAATAAAAAGAATCAGATACATTAATCGTCCCCTTAGTGCAGTAACCGGTTTAATTCCCTCCAAATTTGATAGGAGTTAAACCGTTATTGCACCAAGATAACGAGATCGTTAGTGGTGTCTCTGAACAATATAAAATAGAGAAAATAAGAATCCTTAAAGAAAGCACAACACGGCAAAATTGAAAATGTTGCAGACTCGGTTTGTTTGAGCCTGTTCATGGACGATACTGTCAAGTGCAAACTACCGTCCACGGCCCTTAGCACCGGCTTAATCAGAATTCAACATTTAACATGAATTGGTACAATTTTGAATTTTGAAACACCCGCAGATGTGTTCATATGGCGGTTATCATGGAACCTTCAATGTGACACATAAGTTCCATTCCATGAAAAGCGGCATATTGTCCTCAAGTAAAAATATGCTTCTGCCCTAAACGAGAATACAATGGGCGGAACTAAATAAAATAGAGTTTTGAAAGGAGATCAGAGGCATGAAGCCTGCCTATCACAGATAAGATGTCAAAAGACAAATTTAAAAAGCAGGCCACATATCATTAGGGTGATTAAACAGTAATCAAGTGAGGAAACACAAATGTATGATGCGTCAAAAATAACCTACGATGCTACATAATTCAAGTTGATCGTCTTGTGCATGGTACAGTGCGGTTGCAATTGAAATAGATTTTAAAATGACACTGTGCAGCGTGAACTACTTTCAACTGCCCTATTATAAACATCTTATCAGATATCAAATTACATTAAGTAATGACGAGTGTACTCGTTTACAGTTAAACATTTTAATTAGCTGTCCATGAAGTGTGACGTTTTTTTCTGGCCTAGGATAATGTACAATTAAAAGGTGGTATTGAGACAATCACGGAACGCAGCACCGACAACTTATAGCGACACAGGAGCACGGGAGTAAAGTTGGAAGAGGCCACAAAGAAATTGGCACGTAGTGGGAAGCACAAACAAATGATAGCAATAAATAGCTTAATAAGGAAAAGCCTAACATATTTAATGTTATTCTTAATAGAATTTTTTTTTAAAAGAAGTAGAAGATATACATACTGAAGATTGTATTAAAGTAATCACGCAAATTTCTCTACGTCGTATGTGCTAGCTCAATCAATACGGTGTCTATGATTTTAACTTAAATATGACATATTTATTGCTCTGCATCGAAATATAAGCTTCACTTTTCGTGAAAATTAACATTTCATCAACGAGAACGACAAGTAAGATATTATTCAATACACTGTATAGTTTTACTATATTTCGCGACAATTACGTGACAACCGTAATATGGATTGTCTACAATGTTTATACATTTTCCAGATGTTTTTCAAATAGCAATAGCAGCAATATAAATGCAGCATTAGGACATTCTCATAAAATATTGCTTAAAAAATATGAACGTTTATTTGATAAAAATAATATTTTGTTTAAGAATTTAATATCTGCTATGTAAACATATGTAATATCTAATTATGAATCTAACATTTTCCAACGACATCCCTTTACAATTCTTTGTGGTTTGTTGTTTTTGAATCTAACATTTTCAAACGACATCCCTTTACAATTCTTTGTGGTTTGTTATTATGTCTGATATAAAATACTATGAAAGTAATTATTTATTGTATTACAAAACTGCCATTGTAGACCAATTTACTTTAAACCGCACATTTAAAAAAATATGTATTCAATCTATAAAGCTTTATCAAAATCGGTACTTTTTACTAGTGTCTGTTTTCAGGGAAGCAAAATTAGAACGCTCCAAAATGCTATATCCTTAATCTATGCGGCAAATAAAACATAGATCGTTAGATGTAACGTAAGTCAATAAATAAATATTTCTCTTTTTCTTTCCTTTTAAATACGTTTCATTTTTCCTTCCAATACACCCATATATATATAACTCACTCTATTACATTTTTGTGTCATAAATTGTAATCATAAATAAACTATTTCAAACAGTATATTATTGACATCAATAAATATTGTCCTACTGCCAACTCATTCCCACAGGGATATAGGGAACGTACAGACCGCTATTGTACTGTGCAGTGAGAGCCTTGTTATGTTTATATAGAGTAGAAATATACTATGACAATCATGCTATTGTGTCATTTATATTTACAATCATGTAAACGTAAATATAAATGATCTGTTTCATGCTGGCATCAGGTTTAAATTTGATACTTGCAAATATTTTAATTTCTCGTTCCAAACACCCACATCATCACTTAAAACTCATAAATTGATCGTAAACATACGTACATTACGTAATTCACGTCTGACCAAAAGTTGACTCATGTACAAGTTATGTTTGCTTATGAAACAAGCCGTCTTAAACATTTTCACATGCTTGAAAAATTGTCGTCTGCAAAAAATGTCGTCTGCATAATTATTTTTCTATTTTCTCGAAATAATAAAAATTGAGTGACTTTCAACTTGGCGTTTGTTCAGGGTGTCAAAGGCTATTTTGATCGCTACCAGCAGGCCAAACTTTTAATTAACATTAACCATCTGTATAATATATTTAAACTAAAATGCATTTATTTTGTACCTACCTTGAAATATGTTCCTGGAAATTATTTCTTTAATTCCGATTATTTATCATGGCGTGATTACAATATCGTCTGCATTTTAAGTTTCAAGTTTCATAATTCACATAAGGACTTTAAAAATTAAAAATATATAATTGATTATCAAAGTATTTTTAATATCAAAAGTAATGTCTTCAAGGAAAGTATCGCAGGATCTGTAGATTTTCTGCACTACACACGTCTTAAATACCCATTGTGTGTCAAATAATTCGTGTCTTCAAGGTCGACATCCACGTGAATATCAGTGCGATTCTATTGGATATTTCTGCCTCAGACCGTCCGCAAATATCCCGTCCTATGATGAGCATAAACTTTGTCCCGACAAATCGTGCAAACTTGGTACACAATGCAAATAAAATTGTTTTGTGCACAAACATTTCCCAGATAAATGAAATTTCACGTTGATTTCTAAACGTCCGAACATTCGTCTTAATGCTTTATGATAAATACAAAAACAAAAACCCACTTCTTGTATTGGTACATCTAAATCACTCAATATATAACATCAATACTTTAGGCATCACGAGCTATTCTGTAGCTGATTTTACAAATATTCACGTAACGTTACAAAGGGTAAACAATGCATAAAGTCCTCTAAAATACTACGAACGCATAAATGAGATTTTCAATACGCTCGCTATATACTGTATACTTTTTCTCTCTTTAATACGATAAAAGATAATTTTACAATGAATAACGAATATTATAAAAAAGATTTACGCTCGCTCTCTTTCACTCATAGTGTGAAATTGTTTTTCTTTGCTAGTTAAAGATTGGTAAATTTACAGCTATACAGACAGGTCTATTTCACTTCGAGCTAGGCATTAAATTGTACAAGTGTATTAGATTTACAACTCGCCGTTTTATATTTCTTGCATATTGATAACAGAAAAGGTTATCGGCAGACTTTTATTGTATTATTATCCATGAACTATCTTAAATGTCCTCAATTGTCTGTATCAAATGAGTAATATAATTCGTCATTCTTTCAACCATACTGACATTAATAGTACTAAATGAATATAGAAAACGTATTAAGGGTGAAAAAGAAATTAAAATGTTTTTCTTAACGAAAGTGTGGTGTGTAAATCCTTATGGAAGATAATGACAATACTACTATGCAACCTTTATGCACACCAGCAAACGGACGGAAACAATATTTAAAAAAATCAACTTCAGAAAAAGAAGAAGAAGAAAAATAGTTTTTAAAACATAATTATAATCATTAGCCATCAAACGCCAAACGTTTTATATTTGTATCACAACATTCATGCTGTTTTGATACCCTCTTAGGTTCTTTTTGTGGATTTAACTGCCTTTTGCTTACGCTAACTGAATTGGTTTTATTAGTTCGCTTGACAATTTTGTAAACATACTTAGTTTGAATCTAGAAACGTGTTGTTCTAATTGCAAATACCATGTTATGATTGTTTCAATATTTAAGTTGCTAAGAAATGTAGAATAGTTGCTAACTCACCCATCCACCATAGAGATTCTTTATTTGCAATTATCTTACTTACCATCATTTAGGAAGATTGAACGTGTTACGTTTACATTGTCAATGAATCAGAGTGTTAACATCGAGATATTTTAAGGATCAAATTCTTAACAGTGTTTAGACATTCTATTACAATAATACAGAAAAAAAACAAACTTCCCGGACTGCACATCTATGCGCACTGTGTCGACTGTTTACCAGTTTGATCTCTTTCAATTCTTTGATATTTAAGTTCCGACAAATGAAAATTTCAATAAGGGTACACAGTAAATAGTCTATTTATTGGCATAACATCAAAAATATATAATAGATACAATAAAAATGAAAAAACAATAAATGACCATCGCAGTTAGCACATATATTCCATCAAAATGTTTTGAAAATAGATACATTTGATATCGGGAAGACGACACACATATTTGTATTGTCTTTGAGTATATACTTGATGCATATGACACCAGCATACATATGATATCATACAATATAATATATTATGCTTATGAACATATTTTATGTGCCAGTTTGATAAACATTTAAATACAGAAATCTTGAGCCAATCATGAATGAAAATATACATGATTTGAATAATTTTTCTACAACTGTTCTCTGATATAAATAATATACGTTGACAAAATGATCGAGCTTTTTAAAAGGCCATATTTGACACCATTTTTTGAATTATTCGAAATACAAGTACGAGGGCTGTCCGGAAGTTCGTAGACAAGTCAATAATTCAAAAACACTTGGTGTATCAATGTTATATTTTGATATTTTGCTTAAATATGCATTTGCTTAAAATATCTTTATTAATAAAGATGAAAACACTGATATTTGCAACATACCCATCACCATGGTAACATGAGTGAATGTTTAAGGAGCACTTTCAATAGCCATTCCAATAAAACGTTTACAAAATTTGTAGCTTTAACACAAACGCATTATGATTAACGTGATGTCATAAAACACCATTGCCTGACATTTGGTGAACATTTTGACGTCAAATGATAATAGACAACGTGTTTATTACGGTAAGACGCGGTTAGCTGCTGAACAAATTGTTGAAAAAATTACGTCAATTTCACGTACGGAGCAACGGAGTGTAATCAAATTTTGTGTCAACGCTAAAATGACACTGACAGAGACATGAAAGTTTATTTCCAAAGCTGATTCGGCTGCAAACTAATCGAGACAACTTGTATTTAAATGGCACAGCAGATTTAGAAGCGGGGACAATTAGTGTAGTGTGTTAAACAAAAAACAGCACCGGACGACCGAAAGTGGCACAGTCGAATCACATTGAACGTGTAACAGCGTATCTTCAAGAAGACAGACATTGCACTGTAAGGGAAATAAGTGCTATTCTAGGTTTAAAACGGACTATGGTACATGAAATAATGACAAAGGAACTAAACATGTCCAAAGTGTGCACAAGGTGGGTACCACAATTAAAGTGGCAGAGCGGGTGAATGCCTCGTCGGGAGGTTTTACGATTAAACGGCACATGATCTTATTCCCGCCATTAGAAAGTGGCCTGATATGGACATAGAGAAAATGTATTTTCACCAAGACAACACACCTGCACACCGATGTGAGGAGACGCTGCTCACTATTGACTTCTTTGGCTTCCGAAGACTACGACATGCACTTTACTCTCCCTATTTAGCACCAATGGATTTTGCCGTTTTTCCGAGATTGAAGTCTGAATTACGCGGGAAAAGATTTTCTGACCTAGCGGAACTACGCATGGGTGTCCGATCTGTGGTATCTGGTTTCGATCGGAATTGGTACAGAAACGTTTACAGGCAATGGGTCAGCAGACATCAGATATGTGTGGCATCAAATGGACGTTATTTCGAGAAAGAGTGAGTACAGACGTTCATTTGACGCTTATGACGTCAGTGTTCCGTGATTGTTTATATATGTTATATGTAAATACTGTTATACTGTTAATCATCACAGTTAAATAGTTTTTTGCAAATTTGTTTATGAGATATGTTTATTTTTGCTGGCAAAAAATCCTATATGTATGAATTGTTAAAGAGTAAAAAATAAAATAGTATATGGACTTTCCGGACAGCCCTCGTATAAAAAATATGTACAAAGTCTGATCCCTCGGAAGCATTAAGTTACATGAAAAATGCAGACTCGTTTCGATTGAGTCGGAAGCATTAAGTTACATGAAAAATGCAGACTCGTTTCGATTGAGTCTGTATGTGAGAGATAATGAAAAAGTACAACATCCTTACAAAATTAACTTGAATGACATTTCACAAAAAAATATGTAAGATAAAATAAAATGCTGTTTTTACATATGAGCCGCGCCATGACAAAACCAACATAATGGGTTTGCGACCAGCATGGATCCAGACCAGCCTGCGCATCCGCGCAGTCTGATCAGGGTCCATGATGTTCGCTTGCAAACCCTATAACAACTGATAGCGAACAGCATGGATCCTGATCAGACTGCGCGGATGCGCAGGCTGGTCTGGATCCATGCTTGTCGCAAACCCACTATGTTGGTTTTGTTATGGCACGGCTCAATTATAAACTTTTACTTGCTGCGCCCACCACCAACTGTTTAAAGTCTTCTCATCAGTGTAATCTGACCAGGGTCTAAACAGTTGGCTGACCAATTTTTGTATTTTGATACTGAACTTTGAATGTACTTTCCAAATTTAAAGCTTGGCAAATTCATTATACATGTTCAGCAGGTAAAACTAAAAGTTTTCATGTTTTCTAATTGCGTTAATATAGGATTGATGTTTATACGTTTAAGTAAAGATGAAAGTAAATAAACATGTATTTAGATATTACGAAAATGAACGCTCCCACTATCTTATCAATATGGTATGATGTACTTTTGACACCTACTTCTTCATTCGTATATCTTCAGTAACAAAGGATAGGCTCTGGTGTGTTTAATAAAACGTGCACATTTTGAAACGAAAATGAATTCGTAATAAAACATGTTAGTTTGCGTCAAAACAAACGTGCCTCTCCATTCATCAAACGGGATTTTGTACAGATTCATTAGTATGCATCGTTTAACCCAATCTTACCAAATCTGTTCCAAGGTCAACATCACCACTGAATCAGACATGGGTTATAAAATAACGTATGATTGCATTAAACAGACATTAATTTCAATGGGAGCGAAATTTAGAATTCTTCTAAACCGTAAAAAGGTGCAAATGCTGACAATCTTGCAAGTAAAATAATGGCAATTTGTGGCAATTAACGTCAGTTTCTTATTTGGCTGCATAGAATTTGATTGCTTTCATGAGTTCAAACGACAACAAATTACCCATCCTGACTTCAATGCACATGTCAGTATGCTGTTAAAACTGTTGACAAATCTGATATTTGGAATTCAAATATATAATATTAGCTTATGTACATGTAATTTTAACTTTTGTGGATACATGTATATTATACTGTTTAACCTGAATTAATTTTCGAAACATTCAAAAGTGCATATTTAAAAAAATAATAATATACACCGCATCAAGGGGATATTCATTCATATATGACATTTATCGCCGTGCTTGATGGAAGTAAAGAGATAATAAAATTCATACCTGAACGCGTACAACTGAGGCGTAAAATTTGTATTTATCTAATTGTATCAATATTTGAATCATGCTAAATTTCTTAACAATAGTGTGACACTGTGTGTGCAACAAATCTTAATGCTGAAAACTTTTTTTTCTTTTGAACAAAATGTCAAAACAAACTAACATGACTCAAAACTAAAAATTCCTGTCAAAACCATGTTGCGTTTCCTTCAAGAGATTAATGTTTTGGTTAAATCAACGGGAAAAAAGTACTTCACACATGTTATAACACCAACACAAGGGCAGACATTTATATACAAACACATTAATTATACAGTCTTTTCAGGAAATAGAAAGCTAGTTTCTGCGTTTGTGTGGGCTTTGTTGGCAATAAATAGATTAAGAATAACTGCATCAAGAATTTAAAATGACTTGTTATGTTAACGGGGTCGTATTTCATACACAAAGCATTATTAAAAAAGCACTACCTTTTCAAAATTATTCTTTGATGATCATAATA